CCAAGCAACCAATGGCTGTTCACAACTTTCAGTCAAAATATCGGCCCCTTTCATGCTGTCAATATTATTCATCTCAGGAAATTAGCAAAAAAGGTGAATCTGCGAGGAAATTCTTACCCGCTCCAGCTCCCTCTCGAGCCATGGTCCAACCTGATTTGCCTTGTCGGCGAATACAGTACGGAGGCGCTCGTTGTCTAAAAAAACTCAGGTTTGGTATTCTTCAACTGCTAACTTTTTTGGAAAAACTCACTTTGCTGCCTACGCAACTCGCTCTGTAGTTGCCCATCTCTTCTAGGTACTGCCTGCTGCACTTCACCCCATTTACGGCGAATATCGGCTGCTGCCAGGTCAGTGTATGGGTTGCGGAGTAGTTCACGATCGAGGTCATGAGCTTCCACAAGACGCTCAATTTCCTAGATTGGGAAGGATTAAGTGGTAAGAGGATATGTGGAGGTACCCAGCCAGTTATCTTAAATCCCATGTTATATCTTACCTTCTCGATGGCGGATATGCTGGCGAACTCTTTATCAGCGTCTCCTAGGGTCGACTTGAATTGATCGTGGGCCGAGCAGAGTTCTTGGATCTCTCTCATTTCATGAACAATCACTAGATCAGCTAAATCTTCACGAGCACCATCCAGCCAGTTGTTGAAAGGAGCGGCTCTAAAGAAAATCGCTAATTATAGATTTCCCGTAGAAATAATATAGGAGGTCAGCATGCTGGGAACAGCAAAAACTGAAGGCGGTATTTAATCCTGATTGCCTTCGAAGCTATCCAACAATTGCCGTTGATGAAATGGAAAAACATGGACCCAAATGATTTCTAACGAAGGTAAAACTGAAAATAAGAGGAATCCAACCTTTTAGCGAAGTCAAGATAGAGCGTATCAAGACGTTCAGCCACTCGTTCGGCTTCTTCCAGGGCCGTTCTTCTTTGAGATGCCAACATACCCAGACGGTCCCATTGCGAGCAAATGTTCTAGAAAAAGATAAATTTTAGCTGAATAAAGTCATCTCCAGCCCTCAACAAAAGGCAATCAAGCACTGATTAGCAAACCAAACCAAGTTATTCTGACGCTGATTAGCAAACCAAACCAAGTTATTCTGACGTTATAATAAGACGAACTGTTTCCTTTTCTGCCTGGCAATACTAGCGCGGGTATTTTGGAGCCGTTATTGCGCGCGTGCGATCAATATTCTTCTCTAGTATACACCATGAGCAGAGTATAGAAATAGTTTCAATAGCTGTCACCAAAATATCTAATAGGCTCTGGATATTAATGGATACCTCAGGTGCAAATTTCTCCCTTACAATTCTTTTACAACTTGAATAGGGTCCTACAGTAAGTTACACATGGTCCTGACGATAAGCATGCTGTTATAGTACAATCCCGAGAAAAAGGCAATCCTTACTTTGAACTACTG